CTGGCAGAGTATGGGAAGCTGAAAAGTCCTTGATTTATTATAAACACTGCTTAGCAACAACTAAAACATCAGTGTGTTATCACATTATTCTCATGCTAAATCCAAAACACAGCACTATGCCAGCTACTAGGAAGAAAATTAACTCTATCCCAGCCAAAACCAGGACAGGGGACCAGCCCGCCCGCAAGGGCTTGGTCCCGGTGACACGCTGCAGGAGACCAGCCCCATGCAGCATGACCATGCTTCTCCCTTGGAGGCCTTGGCACGGGCACAGCTTCCGCTGCTCTCCCCCCGGTTTTCAAACGGCTAAATCTGGCCAAGAGCATTCACCCTCCTAAAATGGGTAGGAAAAAGGCAGAGCCATGCCCCTGTTCCCATTCTCCCTTTGTAAAAGCTGGAAGATGGGGCAGTGGGCACACATGGCTCCCTCTTTAAGGGGGTACAGCAGATGTTTTCCCCAAACATCAAGGCATGGCATTAGCTGGAGCCATTTCCGAGGCTATATACTTCTGCGTCGCCTTTAAAGCAGGGCTGTCATGCCACAACTTAACCTGTATTTATACAGCAGGGCTCTTGCTCTGGGACCAAATACTGAAAGAGTATCATCATATCTGTAAAAATAGACACCTCTTGTTAAGGCATATCACAGGACTATTTTATTGTCCACACAGTTATATTTACACCTGACAGTATGAGCTAAGCAAGATGTATTCAAGCTGAGGTAACACTGCCCTTTACAGCTGATTCATGGTTTCCCAAACCTGATTGCAATATTTGTTCCTCTTCCAAGCAGTCCACTGTTACTATTGCTCTCTCCCGGCTGCTCTGGACATCATAACAAAGTTATTATTAGAGAAAAAATGAATCAGTGTGGGCGCATGCTCCTTCCTCTCTCCTTTGCAGGGATACAGCCAGAACCAGACTGAACTGAGGACGCTCTGTATCAGCAAGAGGGTTGACCCAGCTTGCATTAGTTGAGGCAGTGGTGCAGACAGACTCCTTCCCCCTGCCAAACCAGCCCCTCGTGCTTTGGCTGGACCCGCTTTGCCTCTCAATCTGCCCCCAGCTTTCTCCAGAACCCAGGCTGCAGCCTCAGCTACTTGCTGTAAGGGCACTCAAAACTAATGGCAATATGTAGCACAGAGTTTGGGTAGGGATGATAAGCTGGCACAGAGGGCACCATATGTTCCCAAAGGCATTGGCACAAGGCAGGCAGCACAACAAATCAGCAACAACCATCTGGAGAAAGCAGACACCTCCCCAAAAAAGGAGTATGGTGCTAGGGGAGGGGATCAAACCCAAAGGAGCCCAGACATAAAGGGAGGCAAGAGCTGAGAAATGGGATGTGGACTGGTGCTAAAGAAACCTTTCAGCAGGGGGATGGAGAAGCAGGCAGACATGAGTGCTTTTTTATTAGTTTTGGGGTGATTTTTAAAAAATACTGGGATAGAAGGAACACTGAACATGCAAGGATGCAAAGCTCTCCGATACCACACTGACTCTCAGCATAAAGAGCTAAAGCAAGTCTGACCCCCTCCTGGTGAATCTCCCCACACGCAGCAGTTGGTGACAGTCTCAGAAATGGCGTGGTTGGTTATGCTCCCCCCATCAGCAACCCTTGCCACCCACAGCTCTAGCAAAGACTCGCAGTACAGACCGACCTCTCAGCTCTCCCTGCCCACCCTGGAGCCAGCACTGCCCAGCTGAAGGCAGGCAATGGGCTGATTTAGAGGGAAAACCAGTTTTCCTCGCCACAATAGCTACTGGCTGCTGAGGCCCAGTACAGGAGACTCCAGCTCTGGGACTACCCCCAGAATTATCTTGTTGCACCCACTTTCTTTACAGAAAGGTTTTACTCACAGTCATTCGAGAGCTTGGCCCACAGGGAATAAGCACAAGATTAAACACAAAACTTCCTGAGAACTAGTTTCAAGGGAGTAAAAAAATTAAGCAAGTAAGAGTGGGAAAGAAGGGATCAAAGTTAAACCAGGACTACCACCACCCTTCAGATCAGAGCTAGCAACTGAGGGTTTGGGGCCATTTGCTCAATTCTTTGGTCTGCTTTGTTAATTGCAACTGCCCTAACTTCTTTTTGCCTCCCATCAGCCCTGCTGCAACAGGGACATTTGTTTTAGTGGCTCTAAGCAGGGCATTAGTGCTTGCCATTTGCTTAAAACCCTCTTTCTGCAGCACTCTTGAGCACCATTTTTCCTCCAGCCTGCTCTATTCTCCAGTGCAACACAATGCCACGGTATGAGAATGACCCCACAAAGCTGATAAAATATTTAAGACGTGTTCTGATTGTGTTAGGTAAGCAAATACCACGAGAGCCTGACCATTAGTGAACCTGATCAGCCCATTCCCCCAGGACTTGCTGGCAGAGCAAGCCAGAGCAGCCTGAACTAGAAGCAATGGGGCAGCTGCCTTTCCCAAAAAAGAGGGGAGCTTGGAGGTGTATTTTGCAGAGGCTTGAGGAATTTGCAACCTGTGTGTCCACTGTAAAAGCAAATAATATATAGATACAGATTTAGATATAGATACAGATTATATAGCTTATATAGACCTAGAGATATAGATATATAGATACAGATATATAGATATAGATATGGATATAGATATAGATAGGCAGACATAGAAGATATAGATACAGACGATATAAATATATAGATGGAGGTAGTACAGATGCATGCATGTGTGCATGTGTATGTGTATAAATAGCAGGTCAGCAGGTGTTTTCACAGGGCATTGCATTCAGCTGACAGCAAGTCAAGTTAAAAGAAAGAAAAATACTTGACAGAACCAGCCAGTTCATGTAGGAAATTGAGTCAAGAAAAAATAAATAAAGGCAGAAATAGATTAGTTTAAATCTGGGGCCCTCTGGATTATAATGGATCACATAGGAAGACAGGAGGCTTTGTATGGAAGGACTCTATATCCTCCTCACACTTTCTCTTTTGTTTCACTAATCATTTTCATTCTGTGTTATAAGGAGGCTGAGCCAATTCCAGTTTAGTTAAAGTTTTTCTTAGCTTCAAGAAGCTGTGCTGCAAAGACAACACATAGCTGTGGATGAGAAAAAGGAACCGTCCGCAGCGGGACATGGCCACGGACTCCAGTTACGCAGGATTGTGTTTGGTATCACAACACCGGCCGTTGTTTTGGCTTGGTTTATTTGTTGTCATCATTTTGCTGCAGCTAATCCCTGCACTTTGATCTAGAAGTTGAATTGTCAGAATTAAAGTTAAAGCCAGGCAGTTTTCACAAGCTGAATGGGGAGGATGAGGGAGCGGTAGCTTTGCTTTTGTCGTGCCGCAATGGTGGCTTGCCTTTGGAGGCAAAGTTTTTATCATTCAGCTGGAGTATGTGGCAAGCTGCACTGACTGACCACCTCCTTTGCCCCTAATTCCCGCAATCCTCCTAAGCCCACCCCCTAAAATAGCTGAGGGACTATGAGCTCTCTGTGAAAGTGTTCCTGCTACCTCTTTGTGCTAGTACTCCGTGGGATGAGGTGGAGGGCCTGCAGGGACACCCACAGCCCCACTATTTCCACAGCAACACAATGCGATAGTAAGCACCCTGGCCATGCTGGCAGCGAGGTTTGCAGGTGTCCTGCTGGGCTGACCTGCTCTACTCCAGCACTGCAGGTGACTCCTGCCACCACACCGTGAGCTAAACCAAGATCCTGTCGTTTGCCGGACTGCACCTCAAGCCAATCTGACTGACTAAAACTGGGGAAAAATGCAGCAGAAAGGTATTTATGGTGGTGTTGGCTTAACAAACTGATGTGGTGAACAAGCAGCTCACTGTATGCAGAGCCCCAGGAGGGCAGGCAGAAGGCGGGTGGGCAGGGAGCGAGCAGAGCATGGGGAAGGCAGTAGGTTGGAGATGGCCAAGATATTCATGAGCTGTGCATGGTGAAGCCGTACCCCCAGGCTGTGTCCAGTGCACCAGACAGAAACTCGAGAGAGATGGTATCCACAGCTTGTGCCATCAGCAGCGGTGGTGCCACCCCACCGTCCCTGCAGGGTTTACCCACCTGAGCGCACTCCTGGTGCTGACCCACCAGCAAGGCTTCACCCAGTTGTCCTGCCCCTCCAAAGCCCATGAAGCCAAAATGCTTCTCTGCCTTCAGAGTCAGCAAACTCTGCAGATAGAGGGAAAACAACACTGCTGATTAAAACAATGCTTTTTTTCCTTCTTTTTGCAGTTGCTTTCCAAAGCAGAACCCACACTTCTAATTGCTTAGGATGAGCTTCAGGTGTGTCTTCATGAGGGCAATTTCCTCTGCCATGTTATGCCGCCTGTCACTCAAGGAGAATTGTACAAAGTCCTTTTTGCTCTCACGAAAGTCCTTGCTCCTTTCACAAAACTGTTTCTCCTTCCCTTGCAAGCCCTGGCCGAGTGCAGGGAGCACGCGGGGCTGAGCCCTGCCGACGGACCGTGCCACAGGAGGAAGCATGACACCCAGCGAGACCCTGGCACTCACAGCTCCTTTCTGGGACGGGATGAGAAAGGCCCATTTTCCCAGTCAGAAATTAAGCCCCCTCAGCTTGCCGAAGCCACGGAAGACATCAGGAACAAGGCAGTCCCTTTTCCAGGAAAGCTCTGTTCCTAACATGGTATGAGAGCAGCAGGATCCCACCGGTGCCGCAAAGCGGAGCTCCGGCAGCCGCTGCTGGGCTAATCGGAGCCAGCAGCTGGGAGAGGAAGCCAAGGACAGCTTTTAAATGCACGCGGCGGAGAGAGGAATGAAAAATATTAATTTTAAATGGATCGATGCTGGCCTTGGAACTAGGCAGGCAAACATCCAAGCCTGTCAGGAGGGAGTAATGAGGGCTTTTAAATCAGATGTGATCACCTATCTGTGGCTGTACAGAGTATTTGCTGTGTATCCCCCGTACCTTAGGGAGAACCCCAGACACGTAAGGTTACAAGCGTGCTGTCCGTGTACGGGCTCTTTCATCAGAGAGTTTCAAGTGCTTCTCAGGCTTTAATTTAGTGCCTTAATTACTCAGGGATTTAGGTAAATATAACTGTCTTCATTTTTCCCAGCAGCACGCAGAGAGGAATAGACTGACAGAGAAACCAGAAAACGTGAGCACGCCCCCCACTTTCCTACCCCCCTTTCCTGCTCTTGCCAACAGCCCGTACATCAGGGCCCCGCCAGGAGACTTCAGGCAGGCGAAGCTTTACCTGCTGAAGGCACATCCATGCAGTCCTCTCTAGAAATCGTAATCCTTGCCCTCAAGGAGAAATGAGCTGTTTTGCTTTCCATTTGTCTTCTTCAAAGCTCTGGCCAAGCTCGTCCTCATTAGGAGGCCATTAAAACACCAATGTTCTTCACGTTACGATTTCCTCTTGGATTAGATGGGAAGATTTTTATACGCTGTAAAAAGATTCTCTGGTTCTGACATCTTTTTTTTTTATTTGCCCAGACCGAAAGCTTGCGAGGAACAGGAATGGGAAACCATATCGGTGTTCAAATAAAATGCCACAATCATCCACAGAGGCGAAGGGAAAGCCCTGCAGTCTCATTAGCCAAACTTACACATGGTTCTAATCAAACGGGTGGGAGGGAGACATTCCCTTGGCCATGGATACCACCGATTTTTTCCTTAGGTTCCAATTCTGTAACTCTTATTCATCCGAAGATAAACGGGCTTTTCAGGCAGGGAAAGAGGGCTTTGGGACCAGGCTCTAAGGCTTTTCATGTATTCAGTTGTCACTTGCCTTTTACATTCAAATTCTGATGGGTCAGACTTCCTAGACGGTGTCTTTCAACACCTAATAACTCACCCTGCAAGCTCCAGTGCTAATACAGACGTCTTCTTATCAAGCTTGAAACAGGGGTTTTTTGGGATTATTTTAAAGACACTTTTTGGTGCTCTCTCCCTCTACGTTTATACTGACTCCTTCACAAAGATTATTTATGTGGCATTTCTTTCCCATTACACAGTTGAAAACATCACCTGTTTTAGCAGGAGATTTCTGGGGTGAGTGCAGAAATATTTTGAGGAATTTGGTCATCGCCATTTGCTAATGGAAAATCTAGTAACCAAAGTGGGTTTTTTTAAAACCATAATAAATTTTTAATTTGTTACTGCTGGATTCCCATTAAATGCATTAATTACAGGAATGTTTAATGAAGCAAATAAAAAAAAACCCATTATGTATAGAGCACTGTGAAAAACAAGGTATTCAGCAGAGTGTGCTCTTATATACTCTTAATAAAAGACCTTACCTTAAGGTAAAAACCCAATAAAATATGCCATAATGTGCTATGGGACCCACCGTTGATTTACAATGCATTACTCCTTTAGCAGTAAGCAACTTTTGCACAATACACAGCAAGCTTTTATATATTTATATATAAGACCTTTTTTCTTCTAACAAAGATTTATTGAATTTCCCCAGAGTATATTCATTTTCTAAAAAGTTCTTTGTTTTGCTCTACTATATTAGTTGCAATAAAGCCAACAATCTCCTTCCTCATTGACACTTGCGATATTAAAATTACAAAAAATGAGTCAATATCACAATACTTTATATAGAAATATTACTCTGTACACTCTATGAGACTAAATGCAAACGGAGTTTTGCTAGTATCTGGCATTTTGCAAAACATTTTCTAAAAAGTTCTTTGTTTTGCTCTACTATATTAGTTGCAATAAAGCCAACAATCTCCTTCCTCATTGACACTTGCGATATTAAAATTACAAAAAATGAGTCAATATCACAATACTTTATATAGAAATATTACTCTGTACACTCTATGAGACTAAATGCAAACGGAGTTTTGCTAGTATCTGGCATTTTGCAAAACCATAGCACGTTGGGCGAGGTCAGGAAATACATGGTGAAATTATCGTAAAGTCCCAGTTTCTAATTCCTCCAAGGAACTATAAATGAATAACTTTTAAAATAAGTTCATACACCTTCTGTTCCCCCAAATTTAAATGACGAATATGTAAACCCCATACTAGCAAGTTCAATCTAACTGCCGAGAAAGTTAAATTATGCATATCATGATGAACATGGGTTGAAATCCTTGAAGAAATGAAGGACGATTCCCTGAAATGCACTTGCCAATCCTTCGCATGTCATCAAAGACTGTTTTTTCAAGCACGATGTAATGTCTCATGATATAATGGAACAGTTCTCGGTGTTCCCTATTAGTCACACTGATTATTATAGTTGGCACAGGGTCCTCTCCACGTTCGTTCCTCAGAGGTATGTTTGCTCTCCAATTCCCATTCATTCCACTATAAAATCCCCTGGTTTTAAAAGGGCCCCCTTCTGCCTCAGCTTCACCTGTAATAACGGGAGGGGAATGTGCAAGACCCTCGTCCTGCAAATGCACGCACACACATGCAGAGCGACCGTCCCACTGAAGTCCTCAGTGGTTTACCCCCGTATGCACGTAAATATATGCAGAACTGTGGCCTACAAGTAGAATAAGTGCAAGAGATTTTGAGGGAAAAAATGCCTCTCTGCTTGCCTTGGTCACCGGAGAAAGGTCTGCTTTGCAGACAGCAAGTGTCCTCCACGTTCACACATCTTTGGGGCAGCAGAGCGAGGAAGAGACATCTCTTACAACTGCAGAGCGCAAGGCTGGCTGAGGTGTTGGAAGACGCGAGTGCAAGGGGCTGGTGCAGGCACGGCAGCGTGTAAGAAAACTACATCACCACCCGCACCATAGTGACTGGATTTCTGCATTTTAGTTTCTGCTGGTACTTTCCGGGCTGTGAAAAAGCAATGGCTCCTCCCGCGATTGGCCAAATGCACTTTGTTTGCGTGAAGATGATCAGGGTCCATACACAAAATCAGGTTTAATGGTTACCAGAGCTTTTCAGCACCCCCCATCAGCTACAGCAATGTGAAACAAGCCAACTTCTCATTTATACAGGCCCGAGGCAGAGGAAGGGAAGCTGAAAACCGTCTGCTTTGCAGACAGCCAGTGTCCCTCATGTTCATACATCTTTGGGGCAGCAGAGCGGGGAGGAGACGTTTCTCTGCCTTCCACACTTCTTCCAGCTTCCCCCTGGACACTGCAAAGGCCTTTGCCACCCGCTCCCAAACCTTCAGGCTGACGGTGAGCGTGAGCATTACAAGGCCCCGCTCTCTTGCTCCCTCACCTGACGCCATCCCCAGCCCCGGTGGGCACAAGCCCCGCTCCCACCCAGGCCAAACAGGCAGGTGCCCGAGGGCAAACCCGGAGAGGCCCTAAGTCTTGCAAGATCTCCGGCAGGTGCGT